ACTAATACCAGCAGTAATTAAATTTTATCATCAGTTTCAAATCTGAACGGCATTATTTCTTGTTTTATTTAATATTTTTCTTTTTTTAATTATTCACTAAAATAATTTTTGCTTGGGAATGCACGATTGATTCATACAATCTAAATGATTGTATATTTTAGTACGTACACCTGGTCGCGCGTGTCATCAGGTGATGCACCAGATTCCAGGGACTCTTATTTGTGCTTTTTTTATAATTTTGATGCGCACCAAGTGCGAACTCTTTGGTTGACCAAATCAGAAATCGGATGTACTTTTTTATTCAACAATTTATGCCTATTTTTTTTAGATTTTTATTTACATCTCCGTTTCTACGGTGTTTCAAGAGAAACTTTACCATCATCAAATTTCTCGCCATTAAATTACCTACGAAGTATAGTGTATTGAGAATCCATCGTTTAATTTATTTAACGCATTAATGGCAAAAAAGAGCGAAAAAAATGTGTTACCCACTTTAAGAGTGTCTTTTTTACCCTTGGACTTTGACTGCGCCCTCAGGGGCCATACAGTGGGGCCAACGGGCTCCTTGTGGCACATATATGCGCCACCATGTACGAAAACTTCTACTTTTGTACTTTCGATCCCCGGGAGGTATAATATCAGAAAAAAATGGCCCACTGATGAGCATCCGAGGGTCAGCGCGATCACAAAGGTCTCGCTGGGTATTGGCAATAAAAGCATCTAATTCAATGTGCTTCAAGGTGGTACATTGCAATGATTTTTGACGGGTACCACGCGCTTACATTGTTACACCTTTTTAAAGTATAAAAAATCGTTTGTTGATGGTTAAAATATCCTTCAATTGAGTATTAAAATTAAATGTTAACGAAAACAACTTTCAATTAGTAATTTAATCAATTCTTTTACTCTAAAAAAGTCTTTGAATAAACGAATTTAATTTAATTGAATTTCAAATATAAAAAAAAAATNGTGCCGCCAGATAAAAGATGATTCCCTATTTACATATTATTATGAGATTCAAATTTTTTAACTTTGCTCAGTATTTTTGATTACTTTTCATATTTATTTCTTGATTTTAAAACCATTAAACTTTGCTATCCATTCCTTGAACTTGATACATATATTTTTTCAACCCAAAACAAAGAAGTTAAAAAAATATTTCACATTTTGGTTTTTTTCTTCAAAGACTTTGGAGATAACAATTCAGTTTTTATCACATACATAATATAAAAATAGTTGAGTTCACTACACGATCAAGTATTAAATTAATGAAATTGGTAATTTTCAAAGATTCTCCATCATATTTTTGAATTTAGGCACAATTATTTCATGAATTTTTTAATACTTTAAAAGAAATTATGTTTTTATCGAACGAATGCATTTTTTTACTGAAGAAGTTTTCATTTATCACTATTTACAATACAATACAGGGAAAAATTTTTTTTATACAAGATAAGTGCAATACATTTTAAATACTGAAGCTTAATGTAAAGTATTTTAAATAAAATGAATAAAATCATTCTCAATTATTGTTTTGATTGTCCTAGGTTTTAAGTCAAAGAAACTTGAAGTTTATTATAAATTATAATCCATGGTTATGTCTCACCAAAGAATTCAGATTTCATTCGATTGGTTACTAGTTATACACTAACATTAAAGTGCGTTCAAACAGTTTTTATTGCTATAAATTTTTGTTGTCTTCAAAACATCAATCTACTGTAACAAAATAATGTTTTTATGTAACTTAGCATGAACATCATTGCCGAATTTATTGTGAATATTCTCTGTGAGAAATAAATAAACGAAGTGGATAACTTTTCAATTATAAGTAATAATATTAGAAAAAGCTGACATTGCTGAAAACTATGTCCAGTACTAAAGCAATTGTTCACAGAGTTTCGTAGTGCATGTTCACCTCTGCACTAAACCTATACTAAAAATTCCGTCATTGACGAATATTTACTTGTGCATTGACAAATGAAAGTACGAAAAAGATATAGACTTGAGCAAAGTAAATGTATATGTATACCATCAGCCGGCTTGTCTGAAAATACAAAAAGAGCTGACAGGTGCTTAATTTCGACTCGCCATTTTGATGGTTCATACATAATAATACCTATATACGGTTGCATGGATCTCGTTGCATAAAGTCCGAGTTACAGCACGCCTTGCAGGCTGTGTGTTTTACGCGAGAAACAATTAGAAATGAGAAAACGTAATCTTATCGCGTCGCTGCACATTCATCGCAAAACATTTGGTTTCTTTTTTCTTTCTCATAGCCATTTATCCGTGTATCGATCGTCTAATACAATTTTGTGTTTAGTGTGAAAAAAAATGTCTGGGGTTCAAGCAAATAATCATTCCAAGAGAGAAAGAAATTTTCTCGATGTGAAAAAATATTATTATTTCAAAAGAAATTATTTAATTTAAACAATAAATATTTTCTTGATTTTAAGAAATTTTGGTTTTTCAGTGTGCGCCTGGAAAATCTGGAGGAAAAAATATTATTCAGTTTTTGCGTAAAATCGCTGTTTTATAGTACACGTGGATAAAATCAATAAATAAAATCAAGTACTGACGCATCGTAAAGAAAATTCACGCAAATGCGGCTTTAATGTATGAAAAACCATATAAATATGGAATCTACAAA